GGCGGGTCAGGAGAGGTCTGCCTCGCCATGTGGTCACCTCCAGGGCAGGCGGGAATCGAACTCATGTGGAAGCGGCTTTAGATTCTCAGTGCTGTGCTTTAACCCGCTGCACCACCAGGGAGGCCCCGTAAGATTTTTTTTTAAGATTTTAAAAAAATTAACTTTTGCATAGACGAACTGGGGTGCAGGCCAGAGGCGTGGGAAGGTGACAGGCCTCCCCAGAGACAGAGCGGGGAGCAGAGCAGGCGGGTCCCCTGAGGCCCACTGCTGCAGGGTCTGCTGCGCCCTGGGCCCCTCCCTGGCCTGCTGGACTCGCGCCGCAGCGGTGACCGCCGAGACTCAGCCCTGGTTCAGCAGGGAGGCCCCGCCAAGCGATTTCTTTTGGGAATTTCCTGCCCATAACTTTAGCCCAGTTTTCTCCCCCCTCAGCTGTTTGCAGGAGCTTCCTGGCCGTTCGAGCCGCATGTTTTCCTGTGTGTCACACATAGCTTTCCTCACACTGTCATCTGCCTTCTGCTGATGTTTTTGAACTCTCCCTCGTTCCTGGAGTCGGACCTGGCGCGGGTGACTAATCGAGGCGGTGAGAATGCAGACTTACTGGCTCGGCGCCAGGAGAGGCCCGTCTCAGCCCAGGCCCTGAGGCCTCACGGTCCCCTGGTGACCGTGAGCTCTGGGTTTGCTTCTAGCAGGTTCTTGAAGAAGAATGTCGCTTTTCAGAGCTAACCCCGAACACTTTCCAAATGTTGGCCACACAGTCAAAAGTTTCGAAAGAGCCCGGCAGCCACAGCCTGGCTGCAGCGAGTGGGCCCGCCCTCCTCTCCGGGCGGTCACCCGCGCTCCTGCCAGCCTGGCGCGAGCCGCGCGGTGGAAACGCCTCACTGCCCAGAGGCCGCCTCCGCACCCGGGTGCTGCTCACGCAGCCACGGGGCCGGGGCCGGGGCTGGCCTCCTCGGACGGCCCGGGACCGCGTCCCCACCTGGACGTCCAGGAGCTGCCGGCTCCCGCGCGGCAGGTCCAGGCTGCCGAGTCTCACGCAAGCTCTGCTCGGAAGCCGCTGGGTCCCTGCGGCCTGGCGTCCCCTGTGATGGCGCCAAGCCGCGGCCACCCCCGGCACACCGGCCACTCGTGCGTCCGGGCCGGCGTCCACGCTCTGGCCCGTAGCCAGGCCCACCCCAAGCACCAGCGCCCCTCGCCGGGGCCACGGCGGGAACCCGGCTCTCAGACGGTCATGGAGCCGCTGGCCGTGACGCCGTGGGGAGGGCCGAGCGGCTCTGACCGCTGCCCGAGAGCAGAGCCCGCGTGTGGGTCTCGCCGCAAGCCCCAGCGGGGGCCCAGCGTGGCACCCCGCGAGGGCCGTGGACCAGGCTGCTGCTGTCCACAGCGTCGTACGTTCCAGACAGGCCTGCCCGGCCTCCTGGGTCTTCACTGGCTGGAGAAACGGTGCCGGAAGCTTGAGTCAGCCTGTCCGGCCCCCGGCTGCTGTGGAGCCCGCCCAGCGCCCGGCCACGCGCCCTCTGGTCTGCCCGGGGCAGGTCAGCGCTGCTGCGTGGCCCTCCGCCTCCTGGGGCCCGCGGCCCACGCCACTCCTCAAGGAGGCCGAGCAGGGGCTTCCTCTGGCTGCGGGCTGTCCCTTTCGGGCGTGGGCCAGCCGTGGTGCGGTTCCCGCCCCCGCACGCCTCGGCGCTCAGTCAGAGGGCCGTCGGCTACGGAGCAGCCAGTTTTTGGACTTTAGAGCAAAGCTCCTGTTGTGGTGGTCACGGAGCTTTCTCTAGAGCTGGGGGACACTGAGAAAGCGTTGCCCGGACGCCAGCCAGCCCCTGGGGTCCTCGCCGCCAGCCTCCCGGGGCTCAGGGAGTGCTCCCCCATTTCTCCCGGCAGCCTCTTCACAGGTGGCCGCTGCCGCCATGGTTGGTTTGCTCGTTGGCGTGGAGGCAGGTGTCCCCCGTCGCAGGCTGGGCGGCAGTGACCGAGGGCCCCACAGCGGCCGGGCCGCGCCCCGCGTCTCCCTGTGCCCTGGTGGCCGCGCCTGGCTGACCGGGTGCTGGTCCAGCGTGTCCTGCGCCGGTCCTGCGTCCGGAGCGGTGCTGCCCGAGTGGGCCAGGCAACCCCCAGGGCTCTCGCTGCTGTTTCGCAAACCCAGCGAGCAGAGACATGCAAGTCAGCTTCAGTCGGCAAAAGTGCTTAGCTGCGTTCCAGGCCCCAGGTCACCGCCGCCCACGGCGGCCTGCCGGCCCTCCGGCTCGGGTCCGTGGCTCCCGGGGACGGCCGTCCGGGCTCGGCAGCCAAGGCCGTGTCGCTCTGTGGCGTTTGCGCCCTTTTATTTGGCTGTTCTTATGTTTCGCGAATTAGGGGAGGGACCGCGGAGACGGGTGGGCTCCGAGACGCGGTGGGGCTGAGGGAAAGAGCGTGTCCCTGCGCGCTGTCCCGACAACGGGCAGGACAGGCTGGGGGACAGTCAGCTAGGGAAGGAGCGAGCGGGCAGGAGGGCCCAAGAGTTCCCAGAGCCCCTGAGCACGGACCCGGGGACGCCTCGGAGCCCAGGCCTCTCGCGGGCCCCCCC